ATCACTACGGAAGTAGGATTGCCCAACCTTCCTTCCGAGGAGTGGCTGGTGGGTTTGAACCGCCAGCCTTCTGGTTAGCAGTCAAGTGCTTTAGCTTAAGGCTGGTTAAATATTAGTCATCTGAAGTAGAAGATCTCTTTCTTTGGGGTCAACTTTCAAAAAGAAGTTGTTTGCTTGTTTTTAAATCATTTCTAGGGAGAAAAAAAGGAGATACCTTGGTGCATTTACTAGTTAAGTGACTCATGGCTGGTTTCAAGTTTTTAATCTCAGCTTGATTACAGATTATTATATGATAGTGGGTTTTGGGTCTGTCTCAAATAGTTAAAACCATAGTGTTAAATCCTCAAATGCTAAAGGCCTACGGGGTCACCATGAGTCGGAATTGATTCGATGGCAATTAACAACATAGAGCAATTTCTCTTTTAAAACATCAGATGGATCTCATATTATGATCAAATGGATGGAAGAGGGTGTGTGTTGTATGAATAGTAAGTTTAATTATAGAAATAGATATGTTTATGTATATGTGTATGCATATATATTTATACTTTTTTTCCCTCATTTTCTTTCAGCAGTCTGTTTTCCACAGTGGACACTGATGAAATACCAGCCAAAAGACCAAGATTAGGTACTGAATATTAATTTTAAAAATTATTTTTTCAATAAGGAAAGTATATGCATAGAACAAAACTCAAAAGGTAAAGTGTATGTGTAATGAACATTAAGTCTCTTTGCTACTCAGTTATCTTTTCTAGAGATAATCACTATTATCTCTAGAATAATAGTGATTAGGGACGTGTCCAGCATATAATTTTAGGTATTTATTTTAGAATTCTAAATCTTCCTGTAAAGAAAAGATGCTGCTGCTTCTTCTTTTTTTTTTTTTTTTGAGGAATAGGAACCATTATAAAACTATTCCAAGCTGAGTGATTTAGTTCAAGTAAATGAGTGAAAAAAATCTAATGTATTGTCAAAAATCTTGTACTACCCCATATTTGAAGGGCTAGATATGGGTTGGTGGGAGAGAATAAAATTAGGCTATAGTTAAAAAAGAATGAAGGTTTTTGAAAAAAGAATGAAATTCCAGTACTTGCTATGACATGGATGAACCTTGAAAACATTATGCCAAGTGAAGTAAACCAGGTATAAAAGGATAGATAGCAACCCTTCCTTGGGTTTCTGAGGCGGTATCACTACGGAAGTAGATTGCCCAACCTAAGGAAGGAGTGGCTGGTGGGTTTGAACCACCAGCCTTCTGGTTAGCAGTCAAATGGTATTCACCACCAGAGCTCCGATTTATAAGAAATGGATAGAATAGATAAATACATACAGACAGGAAGTTCATCAGTGGTTGCCGTGGGCTGATGAGAAGGGAGAATGGGGAGTTATCGCTTCACAGGTACAGAGTCACTTTGGAGTGATGGAAAGTTTTGAAAAAGTAGTGATAATGGTTGCATAGCATGTTAATGCCACTGAATCATACACGTGAAGATAGGTAAAATGGCAAATTTTATGTTGTGTTTATGTTATCACAATTCAAAAAAACCAAACAAAACCAGGTTAGAATAAAGGGAAAAGACATATATATATATACACTATATATATATGTGTATATATATACACACAATATATATTGTATTGTTACAATATAATATTGTAATAATATATTCCTTTTTTCTCAAAAATGACTATGAATTTGAGTCTACTTAAGGACCTCTGGTGCCTCAGTGCCTAAGGCATTTGACTAATAACTACAAGGTTGGTGGTTCAAGCCCACTAGCCTCTCAAGAGAAGGAAGATGGGGCAATCTACTTTACTGCCTTGGAAACCCAGTGGAGGTCACTGTGAGTTGGAATCAACTGAATGGCAGTGGATTTAGTCCAGGTGTAGTAGCAGAGAGCAGATATGTCTGTGCTGATACTTCATTTAAATACAATAAATACTTAGCATATCCTAAGGCTAAGCAATGTGTTAGATTCTACAGGACATACAAAAATGAGTAAGACAGTCTCGATTTTTAAGGACCTTGACTGGTTTTCTGGTTTACAATTGTATGGGAACATGATTATGTAATAGGGTATAAGACAAGCATATAAATGATTCAAATGGCAGTGAGGATTAAGAAAGGTAGTTACAAAATGCTATCTAATTTTTAGCAGGAAGGGTCTCAGTAAATGGTTGAAGGAGTTGGTTTGTGAGATGGATCTTAAAAGATGGGTCAGATATCAACAACAGCTGTAGGAAGGAAAAGAATTCTAGGTAGAGGGACTAGTATAAGAAAGTTGTATAAATTTGGGAAATAGTTGAATAAAGCTCAGGGTAAGAGTTGATCAAAGAGAGACAGGTCTAATTATAGAGGATTTTGAATGCCAAGAATTTGTACTAAATTTATTAGGACTTTATTTGCCAAAGCACAGAATAGATACCATTCAGGAGATGATTTTAGGTGGTACAACATTCATAGCAGTAGATAACATTTGAGTTATACACTACAAAAATTGTATCCTTTTCAGAAATTCTTGATTTGACACTAGTATATCTTCAATACTTGTTTAATTATGCTAATCTCTTTTTTAAAAACAAGCCTAACTGGAACTTAATAATAGTGTTGTATTTTCATTTCTATATATGGCAGATGATGTTGGCTTTGCATTTACAGTAGTAACTTAAAATCATCTTTTAAAATATATTTAATAAATAATGAAATATAGTTAAACAAAAAAAGTGAGTCGATTTTAAAGAAAAATATAAATAAATAACTATATAGGTTGTACTTTGATGTGATAAAGAGCTCTGATGGTGATATTTACAGAATGTTTCTGAAATAATTATGATAATCATTTATTTTATGGACTCTGTGTTAAGGATCCTCCTCATGATTTCCACTATATGTGGATTATGATTTTCTAAACAGCAAACTACAAGGAAATCTAAGCCCAAGGGAAAGCAGTGGATAAAAGAGTTGATACTTATTGGCAGAGTTTGTAAAGGTCTGTAGCAGTGGTGTCTCATAGAGCTCTCTGTGATGTTGACTTCTGAGCAACAGAATTGAATTTTTCATTTTACCCAACTTTAATTAAATTTAAACTTAAGTCACCACATGTGGCTACTGGCAGTGCAACTCTGTTGATTTCTTTTGAGAGAAAAAAAGGTAACAGTGAGAGGAAAGAAAGAAAGAGGATCTTAATCACATACACATGATTTTACAAGTGAAAGGGAGATCTGCGTAGTCTAGTCTCAGGAAGTACGGTGGTCTTATCCCCATTTTATATCCCTGCTTGGCATAAATGATGGGCAGTTTGAACCAACCCAGAGGCACTTTGGAAGCCAGGCCTGGCAATCTGCTTCTCATAGATCCGAGCCTTGAAAACACTGTGGAGCAGTTTTACTCTGCACACTTGGGGTCCCCAGGAGTCTGAATTGACTTGATGACATCTAACAACTTCTCCATTTACAGATGAGGCCAGCCTGCCTGCCTCCTCTCCCCACCTCTTTTTTTAAAATCTTTGAGATATTTTGGCATAATCTTAGAGCAAGTTTTGACAAAGTTTCTAGGAAAATATACAGTATAAAACTTTTTAATGGTTACTATTTACTGTGTTATAAAGAATAACTGTTGCCCTCTGACATCCTGTGGATTAAGTACCAATCCTTAAGCCCTTTTCCTCCCACTTAAAAAAGCACAGGAGAATGTTAATGAGAAGGATCAGATCAGATTATAGGTATAACTGGAATTCTCTGTAATTCATGATGAAGAGAAGTCATTTGTAAACTTTTACACTTTTGACTATACTCTGTTGTTGTTGGTGGTGTTAGGTGCTGTCCAGTCGGCTCCAACTCATAGCAACCCTACGTACAGCAGAATGAAACACTACCTGGTCCTGAGCCATCCTCACAGTCCTTGCTGTGCTTGAGCCCATCACTGCAGCCACTGTGTCAGTCCGTCTCATTGAGGGTCTTTCCCTTCTTTGCTGACCTCCTTCACCAAACATGATATCCTTCTCCAGGGAGTGGTCCCTTCTGACAACATAACCATAGTAGATGAGATGAACTCTGGCCATTCTCGCTTCCAAAGATGTTCTGGCTGCACTTCTTCCAGGACAGATTTGTCTGTTCTCCTGGCAGTCCGTGGTACTCTCAGTTCTTCCCCAGCACCACAATTCAAAGGCATCAACTCTTCTTCGGTCTTCCCTATTCCTTGTGTAATTTTCACATGCATATGAGGCGATTGAAAATACCATGGCTTAGATCAGGCACACCTTAGTCTTCAAAGTCACATCTTTGCTCCTTAACACTTTAAAGAAGTGTTTTGCAGCAGATTTGCCCAATACAATATGACATCTGATTTCCTGACTGCTGCTTCCATGGGTGTTGATTGTGGATCCAAGTAAAATGAAATCTTTGACAACCTTAGTCTTTTCTTCATTTATCATGATGTTGCTTGTTGGTCCAGTTGTGAGGATTTTCATTTTCTTTATGTTAAGGTGTAATCCATACTGAAGACTGTAGTTTTTGATCTTCATCAGTAAGTGCTTCAAGTAATTTTCACTTTCATCAAGGAAGGTTGTGTCATCTGCGTATCGCAGATTGTTAATGGTTCTTCTTCCAATCCTGATGCCTTGCTCTTCTTCACATAGTCCAGCTTCGTAGATTATTTGCTCAGCATACAGATTGAATAAGTGTGGTGAAAGGATACAACCCTGACCTAAAACCTGATCTAAAACCAAGCAGTATCCCCTTTTTCTGTTGTAACAACAGCCTCTTGGTCTTTGTACAGGTTCCTCATGAGCACCATTGAGTGTTCTGGAATTCCCATTCTTCACAGTATTATCCATAATTTATTATGATCTACACAGTCAAATGCCTTTGCATAGTTAATAAAACACAGGTACACATCTTTCTAGTATTCTTTATTTTCAGTCAAGATCCCTCTGACATTACAATGATATCTTTATTCCACATCCTCTTCTGAATCCAGCTTGCATTTCTGGAAGTTCCTTGTCTATGTACTGCTGCAACTGTTTTTGAATTATCTTCAGGAAAATTTTACATGTGTGTGATATTAATCATGTTGTGCAATAGTTTCCACATTCTGTTGGATCACCTTTTTTTGGGAATGAGCACAAATATAGATCTCTTCCAATCAATTGGCTAGGTGCAGCTGTCTTCCAAATTTCTTGACATAGATGACTGAGCTCTTCCAATGTTGCAACAATTTGTTGAAACATCTCAGTGGGTAGTCCATCAGTTCCTGGAGCCTTATTTTTCACCAATTCCTTCAGTGCAGCTTGGACTTCCTTCTTAAGTATATTGGTTCTTGATCAGATACTACCTACTGAGATAGTTGAAGGTCCACCAGTTTTTTTGGTACAGTAACTCTGTATTCCTTCCATCTTATTTTGATACTTCCTGCATCATTCAATATATTGCATGTAGAACACTTCAGTATTGCAACTCAAGGCTTGAATTGTTTTTTTCACCACTTTCAGCTCGAGAAATGCCAAGCATGTTCTTCCCTTTTGGGTTTCTAACTCCAGATCTTTGCACATTTCATTATAATACTTTGTCTTCTCAAGCTGTCCTTTGAAATCTTCTGTTCAGTTCTTTTATTTCAGCATTTCTTCCATTCGCTTTAGCTACTCTACGTTCAAGAGCAAGTTTCAGAGTCTCTTCTGACATCCTTTTTGGTCTTTTTTTCCTTTTTTGTCTTTTTAATGACCATTTGCTTTCTTCATGTGTGATGTTCTTGATGTTGTCCTACACCTCGTCTAGTCTTCAGTCATTGGTGTTCAGTGCATCAAATCTCTTCTTTAGATGGTCTCTAAACTCAGGAGGGATATAATCAAGGTCATATTTTGGCTTTTGTGGACTTATTTTAATTTTCTTCAATTTCATCTTCAACTTTCACATGAGCAATTGATCATCTGTTCCACAGTCAGCTCCTGGCCTTGTTTTGATGATATTTAGCTCCTTCATCACCTATTTCCACAGATGTAGTTGATCTGCTTTCTGTGTATTCCATTTGGCAGGGTCCACATGTGTAGCCACTGTTTAGGTTGTTGAAAAAAAGGTGTTTGAAGTGAATAAGTCATTGTTCTTGCAAAATTCTATCTTGCGATCTCCAGCGTTATTTCTATCACCAAGGCCATGTTTTCCAACTGCCAATGACTCTTCCTTGTTTCCAACTTTCACATTCTAATAACTATTCTCTGGTAATAAATTACTTCAAATTCTGCTTTACCTGGCTATTACATCCTCCCTGTTGTTTAAGTTATTCCCTTATTTCTTTGAAAAATATGTATATTTTATATATTCTGGAATGCTTAATGCTCAGAAGCAACCATTTCAGCCCATTTTTTGCTAAAGAAGAATGTGGTTAAGGTGATGGTCTCTTTCACCAACTAGTGCTTTTAAAAAAATAAAACAAAAACCTTACTACTATAGAGTTGATTCTCATTCCTAGTGACCCTGTAGGACAGACTAGAACTGCCCAAGGCTATATATAAATCTTAATGGAAGCTCACTGCCTCATCTGTTTCTCTTGGAGTGGCTAGTGGGTTCGAATCACCGACCTTTTGGTTGTTTTAACCAGTGTGCCACCAGAGATCCTTTTAACTTTTAAGTACCCTTAATTAGGAAATAGAAGGAAAATGTTGAAATTTTTTCTACAAAATTAAATGTGCAAGAAGTAAGAAAGAGGTAGTGTAATTGAAGGAGGAAGTGGAGAAAGTGCTGAAATCTTCCTCTCCCACTTATTTATTTACTTACTTATTTTGTAAACTTTTTTTTTTTTTTTTAAATTGTTTGGTGCTGGAGAGGGGTGAACTTGATATCTTCCCCAACAGAGAGATAGCCTTATATTATCAACACATGTTTAAGAGCTGCAGGTCTTATACTTCACTAATTTATACCCTTGGCCTGGCCAAGATATACTAAGTTCTTAATAAATAGTTGTTTACAGCAATTATATGTTACCTCTACTGGAAGTAAGGACAAATCAGTGAGTCAGTGACATTGCTTACTATAGAAGTCTTCTGTACCTAGCTGCTGCATGCTCCTGGTTGTATAAGTTATACTCCTATCTCTCTGACAAGGATTTATTTTATATATTGTGGGGAATTTGTTACCGTAGCTTAAAAGCTGCTATTTCAGGGCATTTTGTGTCAATTTGCATGTGATTTGCTAAAGGGATGGTTTCGTGTTTTTGTAGCATTCCAGATATTTTACTATAAAAACAAAAATCAGAGTACTGGAGTTACAGCTATTCAGTTACAAAAAATTATAGATACATTTTTTATCTCAATGGTTGAAAATAGCGCTTACCATGAAATTAAGAGACTCTTTCTAAGATACAATCTTTTTTTGCTGGAAGTATTTTATTCTATAGTTATAGTTTGTTGGCACTTTCTAGATTGCTTTATTCACCAAGTGAAAAACAGTCTCTACAATGCTGCCAGCTTATTTGGATTCCCATTCCAGCTGACCACAAAGCCCATGGTAACTTCTGCTTGTAATGGAACACGGAATGTGGCCCCTTCAGGAGAGGTCAGTGGGGATGGGGCTTGTACTTAATCCTTAAAGTTGAATTTTTAGAAATATTCTCATTTTGGGAATTAATATATAGAATGACTTCTTTCTAGAGATGTTCATGTATTTATTCGCCTTGATTTAAAGGTCAAGAAATTAAAGGTTAAGCAATTAAACATTTGAAAAATAATTATTTATAAAGACCCTAATTACTAATGCATCAACTTCTCTTACTTAAGTTTGTATGAAGACCTTGGAATTGTTATTTTTTTATATCATTTTGTGAGTCTAGACAAACCTTTCATCTTACTTTATCTCTTCTGTTGAGCTAGCTTAAATAAACATCATAGAGAGTGATTTTTTTGTTCTTTTTATATGAGAAACCTATTTAAACTGTAAAATTTAGATGCTACAGAGTGACTCTGTTTGGTTTTAAGGTGTTTTCGAACTCTTCATCTTGTGAACTGACAGGTTCTGGAACCTGGAACAACATGCTGAAACTGGGTGAGACGGTCAAAAATATTTCTACTTTCCTGTGCCTCCTCCTGCCCCCATTTTTTCTGAGATTTGAGACTATGAAAGGAAAACATGGATTTGGGATTGGGATGACAACAATCAAAGACATAGTCTGTATACCATTCTAAAAAGCAAATGGTTGTCCATCAGAATTACTGTCTTTGAGCACTCGCTGCGGCAGCATGTACAGAGAATAACTGTCTTTGAATTTACTGTTTGTTTCTATTTGCATTACCAGTTGTATTTAAGATGACTTAGATCAGAGTTTCAGTCATTAAAAAAATAGAAATGTTCTGAACTTACTTTGTGTCATGCCCTATGTTAAGTTATCAGGAATAACAAAATAATAAAATCTTGTTTCTTGAGGAGCTCATAATCTAGTTGGGGAGCAAACTTAGGTCCTCAGTTCTCACAGGTGTTATGCATTAGGAACGTCCATATCATCCTTAGACTCTGAAATTGTAGTGTTACTGTTGTATGTTCTACACCATATGATTTGGTGGGGAGAATTAGGAAGAAGCCAGAGTCTTAAGAACTGGTTGTGATCTTTACTACACAGGTAAGCTCATAAAGTTTGAGAGGAAGGGGAGGGAATTACAGAAAATGAGCTTATACAGAAGTGAGTTCAAAAGTCAGAAGTGAAAGAAGCTGAGGAAATGATAAAAAAAACTTAGTACTTCTCAAACTTGCTTAGTAAAGTACCTCTGGTGGTGAATGATAGTGAAGGAGAATAAACACATACCACTGTTTGAGAATCTAGTCCCAAAAGACATAGAACAAAGATGATATTTCTTTGTTTTGAATATCTTTTTGTGTGAAATCTTTTATTATTTCATTTTGAAAATTAATGGGAATGGAATTTTAAAATCCCTTCATGTTTGAATGTAAACTGTTACATAAAATTGACATTTTGGGAAGGATGCTCAGTTTCTTTTGTACCTGAGGTGCCGAGACTGACTGTATTTCTGTGTGTTTGCATAGGCTAGTCAGAGAAGCACAGGTTTCCACAGGGCAAGTTTCTTGTTTAAAGAGGTTCACAGTTTTGTGTCTGAAACTTTTAGAGGCTAGATGTATTTGGGAATTCAGAATTTTTCATATTTAAGATATGGTATGTGTAGTGAATAATAAAACAAAGATCCATTGGGATCTGTGGTAGAACCCTGTAAACAAACATGAATATTTCTGTAATTAAATGTACACATATTCATACTAGCTGGGATAAATGAAGACGTCAGCTTCACTTTGGTTGAAGTCAAGTTTTGCCACCAAATGAGTTAGTTCAGTTTAGGTTTTTGCTGCTAACAAACTTGTGAAAAGACTTTCAGTTTCAGATCTCTTTACATTTTGGAGTCCTCAGGGACTCTGTATTCATAGACTCTCCCTTCCAAACCCCTGTTCTGGCAGAGAAATGTGGCTCATAACAGTTTGATTATACTTTTTTGAATTATAGTAACCATCTCAAAATTTTTGGGAGATTTCAGTGAAATGTAGTAAAATGTGGCTGGCTTTTATTTGTAGAAACTTATGAAAAAGCCCTGAGATGTTTTCTTGTCAAGAGGAAAGTAAATTTGAACAATTTACTCAAATTGATTAGGTTACAGAGAATTTGTAATCTGAAAGTCCTCTATGGCCTCTTGTCAGTCCCAGCAAGGGAAACCAGAGGGCTTGCCTATGAAATCTGTTATTGCCTGAGATCAGAGATAAAACAAGCATTATTTCTTTCCCTTAACTCTTAAAAAACTTATACTAAACCTCTATTTTATATAATAATAGAATTTGAAAGAGCAAATTATTTAGTTTGACTTCTACAAGGTAACCTGCTCACAGGTTTTTGCTTTTTTCACAAGTACAAATGTATTTTTTTTAAAATAGGTAATAAGTCTCCTAATGGAATAAGTGACTATCCAAAGATCAGAGTGACAGTAACCCGAGATCAGCCCCGTAGAGTCTTACCTTCCTTTGGGTAAGTGTAAAATTCCTTTTTGTTAATGGAAATGTAACACTTGTTAGGTGCTCTCATTTGCTAGCCGTTTTACTTTTGTTTTATTTTTGTAAGCCTGTGAAATAAGTACTCTGACACATAGTGAGGGAGAGCCTTGAACTCAGGTGTATGTTACTTTTTGTACCATTTGTAGTACTCACTTTGCTTTAAACTTTTTTTTTTTTTTTTAATATAAATGTATAATATGTTATGAGAGCTCTGGTAGCGTAGTACCCAAAGCACTTGACTGCTAACCAGAAGGCTGGTGGTTCAAACCCACGAGCCACTCCTCGGAAGGAAGATGGGGCAATCTATTTCCGCAGCGATACTGCCTCGGAAACCCAAGGAGGGGTCGCTATGAGTCGGGTCTGACTTGACGGCACTTAACAACAACAACAATATGTTACAGAAAAGTGCTGAATTCACACTTTTCTGGTGGTGTTTTCATTCTGTCGTACATGCGGTCACCTTGAGTTGGGGGCTAATAACACCTCTGTTACTCTCATTTCCTAGTTTAATTCCATTATAGCCAGAGAATATACTTTATATGATTTTAATGCTTTTAAATGTGTTAAGGTTTATTTTATGGCCTAGAATATGGGCCATCTATGGGGCAGTGTTCCATGGGCATTTGAAAAGAATGTGTATACTATTTGTCATTCTCTGTCAGAGAAGCATAATATTTTGTTTTTTCCTGAACCATTTAAGTCTTCGATTCCTGTTCCATTAGCCCTAAGTACTTGAGTGTATTTATTTCTTAAGAATGAAGACATTCATATACTTAACTGCATACTACCTAAGTCAGAAGTACCAAAATCAGAAAATTTAACATTGATATAAAACTATAATCTATAGATCTTATTCAGAATTCTCCCTTATAGTGATTTTTTTTTTCTTGGTCCAGGACCCAATGTAGGATCATATATTCTATTTAGTGTGTTTATTTTATCTCCTTTAGGCTAGAAAGTGAGCTCTGGTAGCATGGTGCCTAAGGCATTTGACTGCTAACCAGAAGGCTGGCGGTTCAAACCCACCAGCCACTCCTTGGAAGAAGACTGGGCAATCTACTTCTGCAGTGACCTGAGGAGGGGTCGCTATGAGTCTGATCTGACTTAATGGCAGTGTGTTTGATTTTGGTGTGGTAAATATAGAACAGTTCCTCAGCCTGCACTTGTTTTTAATGGCGATGACATTTCTGAAGAACATATGTAGGGCATTTCTTTTGTAAAATATCCCTTTAATGATCTTGTTTGATGTTTACTCATGATTTGATTCACGTTATGCAATTTTTTTTTTTTTTTTTTAAGAGATACTACATAAGTGATACTGTATTTTAAGAGGGGCAAGATGACAGTTTGTCCCATTGTTGGTAGTGGTTGGAGAGGCAGATTCCAGCCACGTGGCTGAGCACGGTCTCCATGGCTTCAGCCCCTTGGCACGCATTAATTTAGCAGTCACTAGATATGTATTGAGGGCCTTTTGGCTTACATCCTGTACTAGGATACAGTGGTGCAAGGATATAATCCCTGCTTTTGTAGAATTTAAATTTGAGTGTGGGATATAGACATTGAATGAATAATCATACCAGTAATTAATCCCAGTGGTACCAAGTGACTAAAGGAAAAGTACAGGACCAGAGGTGATTGTGTGCAGTAGGGGGGTTAGATCTGGAATTGGGATTGGGATATTGGGCATGAGGAAGAAGATAGGCTTTCAAGTGGCAGTGCTGGGAACTGGAAATAGACATTCCCTAGCAGAGAGTGGCTGGTAGGTTGAATCACCAGCCTTCTGGGTAGCAGTCAGATGCCTTAGGTACTATACAACCAGAGCTCTTTTTTTTTTTTTTTTTTTAAGTGCTAGAGTACCCTCAGTTCTGGCATTAAAGCAAACTTCTGCAAATGGTAATTGTCTGACTTGCCAGGAGCAAGCTTACCTATCCTAGGACAGCTTAACCAGCTTAATCACAGGACCGTCTAGGAGCTTGAATTCCAGCAATTTAAGCAGTGTGGTGGTGCTTCCCCCCCCCCCCCCCAGTTATTCTTTGAACTCAGAAGGCTATAATAGAAGACCAGGTGGCCGTCGCCATAGCAGAGGCAATCCCGAGAGTCCCTTGATGTGGAAACCACAGGAACAAGCTGTAACAGAGATGATTTCCGAAGAGGGTGGCAAGGGTCTAAGGCGTCCCCACTGTACTGTGGAAGAGGTAAGCCCTTTTAGCCTGATTCCTTTTAAAAGATACTACTATTTTAAAATAATTGTGTACTATGTTACAAAATTTAAAAGGTACAAAAGAGAGTAAGTTTCCTGATTTCTTTACTATACCTGGCCCCCATCTACCCTGTTTCTCTCTCAGGAAGTAACTAGTAATACGTGTGTGTGTCCTTTCAGAGATATTTTTACATATGTAATTTGGTGGATTTATAGATAGTTATTTTCTCTGTTAGAAAAAACTAGGAATCATGTTAGGAAGAGATAACGATTATAGGAGTTTGGGGTATATGCCTGAATTGCTCTCACTTGTTTTTTTGAGCTATAATAAGGGAAGTGAATGATGTACATCTCTCCTTTCACATTCCCCTTTCAGAGCACTTAGCATGGAGAAGACACAATCTTTTCATTTCCCTCTTGAAGCCTTCATTTATTCCAGGCGAGTTCAGAATTATTCCTGTATCTGTCATTCCCAGGGCCATCAGGTTGCTAGATGGTTTTCTGAGCTACCTAGTTCTTTAGGAACTATTTCTCTGGGTCCCAGGTACTGTGTTCCAAAACCAAACCAAACTTACTGCCATAGTGTCAATTCTAACTCATAGGATTTCCAAGGCTTTAAATCTTTACAGAAGCAGACTGCCTCATCTTTCTTCCATGGAGCAACTGGTGGGTTCAAACCACTGACTTTCAGATACTGTGTTAGTTGCTAGCAGTTTAAAATTGAATAAAATATGATCCCTCTCCTCCAGCAGCTGATACATAATAGTTGTAATTCAACAAACATAAGTAGGCACCGAGAAAAATGGACTGGAAAAAGTCTTTAGAAGATGTATAAGACTAGTCTTACAGAGGAAGACTATTTTACATCCTTGGGTAATGCAAACAGTTAAGTATTTAGCTGCTAACTGAAAGATTTGAAATTTGAATCCTCTAGAGTTGCTGCAGAAGAAAGGCCTGGTGATGAGCTTTTGAAAAATGAGCCATTGAAAACCCTGTGAGGCCCAGTGTGGCTGTGACACACACGGGGTCCCCAGGAGGTGGAAGCCACTCCATGGCAACTGTTTTTTCAAAAGAGGAAATAATTTCCAAGATGAATCCTAAAAGATAAGGAGTTAGTTTAGAGACAAGGTAAAGGAGGTGTTTTAGTTACCTAGTGCCACTCTGACAAGAATATACCACAAATGGGATGGCTTTAACAAGCAGGAGTTTATTCTCTTACAATTTTGGAGGCTTTAAGTACAAGTTCAATGTGGCAGGTTCTAGGGGCTGTGGGTGAAAGCTCCTCGAACTTGGGCTTCAGCCCTGTCTCTTGCTCCTGGCCCACTGAAGCTAGAGACATCTCTTCAATCAGGCAGCTACTGGCTGCTGAGGCTAACAAGCCCAAGGTCGACAAATAAAATGGCACAGTCCCAATGTTACCAAACAACACAGCAGGCCATTGATTCAATCCCATTGTTGTTGTCATGTGCTGTGGAGTTGGACCCGACTCATACTGACCCCTCCTTGGATTTCCGAGGCAGTATCACTACGGAAGTAGATTGCCTAACCTTCCTTCTGAGGAGTGGCTCGTGGGTTTGAACCGCCAGCCTTCTGGTTAGCAGTCAAGTGCTTTAGGCACTATGCTACCAGAGCTCCTTCAATTCCATTGGAAGTCCCAGTA